TGCCCTGCTCTGTTCTGACAACTGCCTCTTGGTCCAAGTATAGGTTTCGCATTAGCACGATTAAATGTTCTGGGATTCCCATTCTTCTCAGAGTCAGCCTAGAGTAGTGCACTAAAATCCTCCCAACTAGAGCTTTCCCAATAGACAATACCATGATAAATGGAAAGAAGACTGAAGTTGTCAACAGCCATGAAAATAGTAATCAGGAAATCAAATGTAATAAATGTAACAGATCATTCCTTTGCCAAAGGCCTCTTAAAAGTGTTAATGAACAAAGTGTGCTTGACTCAAGACCTAATATTTTCAATTGCTTCATATGTATATGAAAGTTGGACAATGAATAAGCAAAATGGAAAAGAACTGAGGCCTTTAAATTGTGGTTTTGGCACAAGCTATAAATATACCATGTTGTTGTTGTTGCTGTGTACCATCATGTCAGAACTGATCCATAGCCAACCCTTCAGTGAGTTTTCAGAGGTAGTTAATCACATGGGTGGAGATTGTCCATTTTTCTCCTGTGAAGGAGCAGGTGGATTCGAACTGAATGCCTTCAAGATTGCAGTGCAGCTTCTTGCCACTAGACCACCAGAACACCCTATAAAAATATAATGTTGTTTTTACTGTAGAGTCATAATTGACCCATAGCTGATCCTTGGGCAGGTTGTCAGAGGCATTTAATAGCCTGGGAGGAGATTGTCCATCTTTATCCTGTGGAACAGCTGGTGACCTCAAACCTTGTACCTTCGGGACAAACTGCCATATTCTGGCTATACTTTTTCCAAGAAAAATTTGTTCATTCTTCTGGCTGCCCATGGTATATTTACTCTTCTTTGTCAATATACAATTCACATGCGTCAATTTTTCTTTAGTCTCGTTATTAATGTCCCATGTTTAACATGCATATGAGGAGCCTGAAAAGAACATGGCTTAGTACAGGTGCACCTTTGTCTTCAAAGTAATACCTTTGCTTTTAAACACTTTAATCACAGGGTTGCAGAGAGTTTGGTAGGTGGAGGGAGGAGGCGAAGGAATTAGGAAAGATCCAGTGGGGATCTGAAAAGAGAGAGTAATTGTGGGCATAAGTAAATGTTGATTAATTTTATAAGACACAAAGTGTGGGGATGATGGTAAGAAACACAATGTGAATGAAAACCAACAACAAAATAATAAAAAAGGATGCTTCTTGCAGGATATTTGTGTAGTATCGTTATTGTTGTTTGTTGTTAAGTGCCATTGAGTCGCAGGCAACTCATAGCGACCCTGTGAAGGAAAGTCCTCAACACTTGGGTGCCTTTCATCCTCTCTCCAGGTTCATAGGGTTTCCGGAGGCAAGCCATTATGGAAGTGGATGCCAATCCTCCTTCCAAGCTAGTATGTGTTATACATGGATATAAATTTATATTCCTAGATATGAGACTTTATCTCTTTCTATCTCATAACAACACAACACAAGGCAACACTGACCAATTCTGTACCATCTCCCTAATTGTAGCTTTATTTGGACCTACTATTGTAGCCACTGTGTCAATCTAAGTCCCTGAAGTTCTTCCTCTTTTACCAAGTCCTTCTCCAGGCACTTGCCCTTCCTTTCAACATGCCCAAAGTATGTTCAACAAAGTTTCACCATCCCTGCCTCTAAGGAACATTCTAATTTGTACTTCTTCCAAGACAGATTTACTCATTCTTTTGGTTTTTGCTGTTGTGTGCTGTTGAGTAAGCAAGGACACTTCAGTGGGTTTACAAAGATAGTAATTGCTCTTTCTCCTATGGAGCAGCTCATAGAGGAAAACTGTGTGCATTTTGACTGATAGGGCAACTCCTTACCCACTAGGCCATTGTAGTCAATGGTATAATTTTTTTTTTTACTAACACCACAGTTCAAATGAATCGATTATTATTCACTTGTCTCTATTTATTGTTCAAGTTTTATATTCATATGTTGTTGTTGTTATGTGCTGTCGAGTCGCCTGTGACTCATAGCAACCCTATTTATGTACAACAGCCCTAAACCCTGCTCTATTCTGTGCCAATCGCACTGTTTCCAACACATCTATCCCCAGTACCCCAGACACTGAATCAATCCACCTCAGAGAGGGTCTTCCTCTCCTGTGCTGTTCCTCCACCCTCCTAAGCATGATGTCCTTCTCCAAGGACTGGTCCCTCCTTGCAACATGTAGAAAGTATGTTAGGCAAAGCCCCAGAATCCTTGCCGCCAAGGAGCTGGCCGGTTTAAGCCTTTCCAGGATGAATCTGTTTGTTTTCCTAGCAGTCCATGGTGCCCTCAATACTCTTCTCTAGCACCACAGCTCAAAGGCATCAATTCTCCTTCTATCCTCCCTAGTCATTGTCCAACTCTCTGATGCATAACAAGTGATTGCCTGTATCAAACGCACCTTAGTCTCCAGAGAGACACCATTGCTCTTCAGTTCTTTGAAGAGGTCCCTAACAGCAGGCTTTCCCATAACAATGCGTCTTTTAATTTCCTGGCTGCTGGTGCCAAGAGTGTTGACTGTGGAGTCAAGCAAACTAAAGCTGTGAACAATCTCAATCTCTTCTCCGTCCATGCTGATGCTGCCAATTGGCCCAGTGGTGAGAATCTTTGTCTTCTTGATATTGAGTCTCAATCCATGTTGAAGGCTGCAGTCCTTGACCTTCTGCAGCAAGCACTTCAGGTCCTCCTAGTTTCAGCAGATGATTGAAAACACTGTGTCTTCAGTTAAAACCTTTTATTCCTCAAAGAGGCAACCTTGCACTTTACAGAGGTACTTCACAGCACATTTACCCAATGCTGCTTGAATTCTTGACTTCTAGCTGGTATACAAATTCAATAAATGAATATATTTCTCCAGATACTGACCACCTTCAGTTAACATGTCCAAAGTGTGTCAGATGAAGTCTTGCCATGCTTACTTGTAAGGAGTGTTCTGGCTGCACTTCTTCATGAAAACAGTATGTTATAAGGAAAGATCAGTCCCTAAAGAAGGATATCATGCTAGGAGATGAGTTGACACAGTGTATACAACAATGGGCTTAAGCACAGCAGTGATTGCGAGGCTGGTGCATGATGGGCACTATTTAATTTTGTTATACATAAGGTTGCTATGAGTTTGAGCTGAACTGACAAAGAACAACACCTAACAACACCAACAGTACTCACAAATGGTTTTGTACTAAAGTATGCTTATATGGCAGTATCATAAAATAATTCATAGTCCATATAATGTCTCCTCCTCCCCATTTACTTTGTGGGCAGGAACATGGTTTTGATAATTACATGAGTTTCACAGCCCCTGAAAGCAGCCCTGAAGACCTTGGAAAGAGTCATCGCAGAAATACTTCGGGCACACCTTTCATAGCAGTATCAGGGGTCTCCCGCTCCTCAGGTGAGTATTTACAACAGCTTCACTATGTTGTTAAAAAAATTACAAAATCAAATGCAACTAAAAGGTTAAATCCTTTTTGCACACTAGAAAAATAATCATCAATTCTTTTACTCATTGTGAGTACTTGAAGATAGACCCAGGCCAGTTGATGCCTTCAGCTGCTTGGATTAATATAGAATCTGTTTATTTGGGTTTATATTTTGCTTAGCATCACTGTTAAGCTTTAGAACTATACCAGAATGTGAACAAAGGAGAAAAGGAAATACAATTGTCCCCAGGATACATTTAGTGGCAGGTAGAGAGACCTGCTTTTTACCAAGCGCAAAGAAATATAATAGCTGAAAGTTCTCTATTGAAAAATCAATCCAAGGTTTAAATGAGTTATTTTCAAGTAGTGTTAAAGTATTGGTACTTCTTTTCCTTTTGTGGTGCACTGAAACACGTCATTTCATCTGATCATCGCAACAACTTTGGAATGCAAGTGTTATTTATGCTGTGGTTTTCTTACTTACACATAAGGAAATCTTTAGAGAAACTTGTCATAGTTATTAAGTTTATTTCCACGTATAGGACTAAAATCACAATGAAATTTTTAACATGAAAAAGTTCCGTTATCTAATATTTTCAGAAAGTGTATGACTGGATTCTAGGTGCTGTGTTAAGAAGTCTCTGCTAGGCAACCAGCTCTCAGAAGGTTTTCAAAATGCATTTTATCCAGTGGCTAAATGCTACTTACCTGTCAAATGGAAAAAAGTAAAATAAGTAGCCTAAAAGCCTTTGTCATAGAGTCTACCAAACCGAAATCAAACTCACTGCAGTTGAGTCAATTTTCACTTGAAATGACCCTTCATTGTGTTTCTCGGGGTGATAAATCTTAGATTTCCTGAAGGATGGCTGATAAATTAAAATTGATGATCTTATGGTTAGCAGCCCAACATCTAGTGCACTATGCCACCGGAGTTCCACTGTAGCTCTTGGTTACTGAGTACATACTTTGTATCAGGCACTGTGCTACATCCTTCTACATTATCACATTTATCACTTCAGATGTAAATTATTGATTTGGAGATGGTAATCTTACCTGCTCTCTTCAGTCTTTCTAATTTATAGGCAACTATACTTATTTATTAACATGGTGACTTTAGCAATGGGTTCGAGCATTTCAGAGATGATGAGGATGGTTGACACAGGATAGGGCAGGGTTCAGGTCAGCTGTTCATAGCATTGCTGTGAGTTATGCTCTACTTTATGGTACCTAACAACAACATATCTATTCACGAGGGAGTTCTAGTGTCCTAGTGGTAAGGAGTTGCTCTGCTAACCTGAAGGCATGTGGTTCGAATCCACCAGCTGCCCCATTGGAGAAAGATGAACAATCTTCTCCCATGTGATTTACAGTCTCTCAAAACCTATTGGAGGGTCAGCTATGAATCAGTGCCCACTAGATGGCACATAACAACAACATATCTATGTCAGTATTTGGTATAAACTATTCTGTGAAAATAAATTGTCTGTGCCTTAGTATGCACAGTGTCCATAACATTACTGGGGGGTGTATTGTTCTTTATATTTTTGAAACTCAAAATAATATGTTATTCTATTTTGAGTCGCAAGCTACTCGACGGCACATAACAACAACAACAACATTTTTTCCTAAAGAAATAGAATGGCCTCTTGATTTAACAATATCTGTTCCCTTTTTGTGTGCAAAAAACTTGCTCTGTCATTACCTTAAAATTAGCAATTTAGATTGGATTGACTAAGATTTTCTATCAAGTATAAAATTGTGAATTCTAGAAATAATAAACTCAAGAAGAGTTCAAGATTCATTTTTTTCCAAGAGTAAGGGTTCTATCCTAGGAGAAGTTTTCAAAATCATAAGCAAGCAGAAGCCATCAATAAATGAAAGCATAGCATTTTATAGTCAAGCTTTTAAATTCCTGTCATCTAAGGAGGAATGAACTTATCTGTGTTAGAATTTCTGTCTAAGGCACTTTCCAAAACACCATTATTTTTAAAAATGGAAATATGTTAACATAAACAGCAACTTACTTTGACCATTGCTTTTTACATCTGTACCTCATGGTTAGAAGAGTTGGTATAAAGATGAAACAAGTAGTAAAAAATAAGACATTCTAGGAAAATAAGTAGGTTCACACCTTTCCTTTCCTCTTCCTTCCTCCAGACTGGAGTCGATCTGAATTAGATTTGAGTGAGTCCTTTCCAGAAGATGTAGAGGATACTGCAAACATAAGATGCAAGTCTGTCCCTGGGACTTTAGACAAAGATGTGGTAAGTTGGATGTGAGAGACTCATGATTATGAGGAAAGAGGTGTACGCTCTTGCTCCAAGTTGTTATACTTTTATTGTAGTTATTCTTATGTAACATCAAGTCAGAACTAACTCATAGCTGACCCTCCAGGAGATTTTCATGGACAGTAAATCACACAGGAGAATATTGCCCATCTTTCTCCCATGGAGCAGCTGGTAAATTTTAACTGTGTGCCTTTGATTTGGCAGCACAACTCCTTACCTCTAACCCATGAAGACTTAGTTCTCCTTTTAGGTAATATTGAATTAAGAGTAAAGTTAGAAAAAAAAATAGTAAAGTTAGAATATGTAATAATCTCCTCCTGTTAGTCTTTACTGTCAACTTCCAAAAGCAACTGAAGGAGCCATTTAGCAATGTAACTGGTAATCACATTAATGAGTGAGAATTTCTAAAAAAAAAAAAATCATGTGATGATGTGTCTAGGAACTAAACTTTAGAAACAAAAGACCTTAGTATTTCTTAACGGAATTGTATTAAACTTATCTGAGTATATATTTTAAGGGAACATTTCTATATCTCAAGTTACTTCCAAAAACTACCTTCTTATCTGAAATTAAATTATGTGAAAATTAAGCTTCAATGAGCTAATTTATAAAATAAGGTTAAATTAGATTACTGTTGATATTACTTCCAACTCTAATATTCTAGTTTCTGTAATTGCTATCAAGAAATTAAAAACTCCCTGGAAGAAAGATATAACATGAATGTTAAGCGTTGTTAATATGGTTTTTTCAAAACAAGCCAGGAAACTTTGAGTTCTAATGGTAAATGTTATTTATTACAGTATGAAAGTTTGAGAAGGTAAAATCCACCACCAAAAAAAGTAGGCATTATTGCTGGGAATACAAAAAGGATACAGCCACATTGAAAAAAAGTTTGACAATTCTTTAAAATGTCAAGCATAAGATTGACTGTATAATTGAACAATTTTACTCATAAGTACCTTTCTTAAAGAAATAAAAACATATCCATAAATATGTGTGTGAATTAATTTCTGTGCATGAATATTCACAGTAGCATTTTTTAATTATGCATTGGTTTGCATACAAAGTTTGTATATATTGTGGTTCACAGTAGCCATTATTCACATTGTGTTTCACATAATCATTCTCATTCACTCCGTCTTTCTCCCATGGAGCAGCTGGAGGCCTCCAACGATGTGCCTTTGGAATTGTAGTGCAGTTTCTTGCCACTAAGTCTCCAGAGCTCCATTTGTGTTTCAGTTCTAATTTCCTCGGGATATTTTTCTAGGAGTGGAATAGCTGGATAATACGGAATTTCTATGTTCAGCTTTTTGAAGAAATACCAAACTTCCTTCCAGAGTAGTTGTACCATTTTACAATACCACCAACAGTGTATGAGATTTCCCACCCCTCCACACCCTCTCCAACATTTATTGCTTGCTGTCCTAATAAACTTACTAGTATTATTTTTAGTAACCAAATATGGAAACAATGTGTGTCTGCCAAATGATTATTAACAAAATATTACTCCCATCTAGTCAGAAACTATTCATAGTTGACCCTCTAGTGGGTTTTCCAAGGCTCTGTCATACAGGAAGAAATTGCCCATCTTCTTCAAACTGCCCAGTTCTAGGTTGGCAGTGCAACTTCTTAGCATTAGGGAAGCAGAGCTCACTAAATGATGAATATATAGACAAAATATATATCAGACTTTATAAAATTGACTATTATTCATCAATTAAAAAGTCTGAAAGTACTGATAGATACAACGACATGGATGAACTTTAAAAATATTATACTAAGTTGGAAGAAGGCAGGTAAGATTACAAATTTCATGTTTCTATTTATGTGAGATATCCACAAAAGGTAAAATAAAAGCTGGAAAAATAATTCATAGTTGTCAGGGGCTGGTGATGGGAGTGAACACTGATTGCAGACAGGCATAAGGAAACTCCCTGGAGCAACTATAATGTTCTATTAATAGATTCTATTAATGTTTTAACAGCTATAAGTTTACTATAAAAAATCACTGAATTGGATATTACAATGGTAAATTTTAGGGCATAAAAATATACAGCAATAAATGTGCTTTAAAAACAAGTAAATATAGAGTGGAACAAATTTTGCAATTTATTACTAATTGTTGAAGCTGAGTGAATGAATATAAGAAATTATTATATTAGGTCTTTTATATTCATGGATGCTTGATTTTTCATAATAAAATATTTTCTAAGAAGATAAGTATTGAGAATAAAAGTATAAGTGCTAACAGTTCATTTACTTAGAGAAAAAAATTCTGAAAACATCTAGAGGTAAATGCAATTACATATATATAAGCAAGCATCTTACTGATAGAGAATTTTTGATAGAATTATCGGGTACCAGATGAGTAATATTTTTCAAATATTAGAGATGAATAATTTTTTAACTTGGAAACTAGAATTTTATATTTCATTAAAGAGGATTTTTTTAAAACAAATTATGGCCATTAAAATTAATCTCAGGAATATAATGTCCAAAGTGTACCACTGAAAGACCCACTTTGAAAATAGTTTTAAATTCAAATACAGAAAATGTATACATATATATATATATAAATGATGATTATATAAATTCATAAAAATGTTCTCTTAAAAAATATGAAGCTAAAACTATAGGGATAAAATAAAAGAATGTGAAGAAATCCTTGCCTCCACTGCAGGACTATCCCAGATGTGAAACAGAAAAAGAGAGTTTGGGACAGAGAGGTACATGCAGACTTCCTCAGCTTTTTGTATAAGGAGAGCTGACTTGAGACTTCCCTGCATGCAAACTGCTTAAGTTGGTACCCCTGATCTCTCACCATTCCACAGATAAGGGAAGGCATTAGGCTTCAAAGAGAAGGCAAGACACTCATCCCCAGAACCAGCAGGTGAGTGCGGAGAGGGGGGAGAAGGGGAAGAAACTTCCTTGAGGAAGTTTCCTCTATTTGGGAATCCTTGTGTCTACCTCTAAGGGGCCATCCCAGGTGCTAAACAGGACAGGAGAATTTAGGACAGAGAGCTACAAGCAGGGGAAAGACTTTTTCCCCTTTCTCAGCTAGCAGATTGAACTGTGAGAAGGAGAACTGACCTGAAACCACCCTGTACAGAAACTGCTTGAATGAAGCACCTGGTCTCTCACCACTCAGCCACTCAATAGATAAAGGAGGACAACAGAGTTTGGGAGAGGGGACTACAATAAGACAAGATTCCTGCAGAGCTGCAGTGCAGATGGGAGAGCACCTGAAGGAATTTAGGAAAGGCAAATTTTTCCAGAGAGGAGTTTCAATAGAGTGACTAGCTAACCTCATAGATTGAATATTTTAAGGTGGCAGATATTAACATCCTAAAGATAAGAATTTATGGATACAATAATAAAGAAATAAAAATAATAAAATAAGAATTTAATTACTACCAATAATTTATGCAGACACAATAGGGATGGCCCAACACTTATCAAGAAAAACTTCACACAAAGTCAAGAAAGTACAGGTAGCATAAAACACTGTGAAAAAAACCAAATTAAGCCTTCTCAAAAAAAAAAAAAGTAGAGAATATTGCAAACTCAATAAATACCCCAGATCTAGGTAGGCAGAAAGTATATGTTGATATGGAGGCATTTGAACAGCATGGAAGAAAGTACAAATGAAGAAGCAATGGAAGCAACAAATGAAGGGAATACCTTAGAGATAGAGAACCAGAGAAATATATTGATGAGGAGTTATTTGCACAGCTAAGGACGAAGGTGCAAATGATGGAAAAAATAGTGGAAGCCATTAAGAAAGCAAATACTCCCCGGACAAGGAGCCAGAAAATATATAAATGAGGAGCAACGTGAACAACTACAGAAGAAAAGGATGGAAGAAAGAATGGAAACTATAGATATAAAGGTACAAGAACTTAAAAAATAATCATAAGATAGAGCAGGTACAGCCAACAATAACAGAAATGCATGAAAATGGAAGCCAGAATACTAAAACTAAAATGACAAAAGTTTCCAATGGAGGGACAAAAAAGTAGAACAGAAACAGCACAAGAAAACAGAGTCAACTACAAAGGGGAAAGAATTAGATTAAGTTCTGATTTCTCAGCAAGCTAGAAGAGAATGGAATGGCATATATAGAAATTTAAAAGAAAACAATTGCCAGCCATGGCAATATACCCAGCAGAGCTTTCTATCAAATATGAAGGGGAAACTTCGATCCTCTGCAGACAAGAAGGAAGTTAAGGAATTTATGTAAACAACACAAAAACCACAAGAAATTTTCAGTGAAGTCCTTCACACAGAGATGCCATAGAAAACTGAAACAACAGAAAAAGAAACACAGCAAAATGACAATGGTAAAATCTGGCCTGAGAGTGATGACATTAATGTATTCTATTGGCCAGGATTTTACTCAGGATTTTTAAGGTACGTTCATGAGAAATGCTGGCCTACAGTTTTATATTTTGGTGGGGTCTTTACCTGGTTTTGTTACCAAGGATATGTTTGCTTCATAGAATCAGTCTGGGAGAATTTCATTTTTTCCTATTTTCTGAAATACTTTATTTAGAATTGGTGACAGATTGTCCTCTAAATATTTGATAAAATTCACTTGTAAAACCATCTGATATAGGGTGCTTTTTTTTTTTTTTGCTGGAAGTTGTTTTCAATATCTTCTTATGTAATGGGTCTATTCAGCTGTTCAATTTCAGTCTGTGTCAGTTTAGGTAGGTTGTAAGTTTCTAAGTATTTTTCCATTTGCTCTTGGGAAATTTAATGTCAGCTGAACCCAGACTCTGGCTTCTTGAGGTGTGGTAGGTTTGAGGGCTCTGGGTACTTGTGATGGTTTTTTGGGCCCACGTGGGTGTTGGCAGAACGGACTTGCCAGATGAGCTGGGCGTCTGGGGCAAGGATGTTGCCAGCATTTGGCATGCCGGGCTGGTAAGACACTGAAAGGTCAAGACCTGCCTAGGGTCTTGGGATATTTAATG